AAGTCAATTCGGGTTTTCTCAAATTATAGATCCAGCCTACTCGGAGTACTGTAGATCCTTGAACCTCTTTCGGTTCCTGTTGTACTACCTCTGGTTTTTCAGAGAATTCTGTTATCCAACCGGATTGTATGTCGTTTCCCTCCGTGTCTAACTACCACAAGTTGTCTTCTTTTATTTCGGACATAAACTCAAAGAAGAAACGGACGCGAGCGGGTTTTCAGAAGAGGGTTGTTGATAGAAGAGAAACAAAAATTCTGCGAGATAGAGGAAGAGACCGGAAAGAGTAATAAAAAAAAAGGTAGCCGGGCGGCGGTGAAATTCTAGTACTGAGAAAAAATATTTTAACAAACTTTACTATACTACTATACTACGGTTAGTCAACGTTAACTGGCGTACGACTGGGTTACTATGACAATTTCGGTTTGAGTGGCGGAAAATGGGATAGCTCTGGTTTAGAGTGGAGCGGACTAGACAACGTTCAATGTGTACCGGGGTAAACAGGAGGAGAGAGAAAAAAAAATAAAGCCAAGACAAGAAAAGAATCTAAAACGGCAGGGTTGGGGCAGTACCGGATTACCTATCGGAAAGTAACCAGGTCCCTGCTCGGGCGCCAAATTTGTAAGGGGTTTTCTCGCCTCAGAGAAAACGATTACTTACAAATGACGCCTGTTGACGGGACGGCTCTCGGGCGCCAGATTTGATGTGTGGTTTACTCCACAATCTTTCGAAACGGCGTCGAAAGTACTCGGGCAGCACAGATGGAGATGAAAAATTCCAGGGGTCGTTGGTCACTCAGGCACAGGTAATAAGTAACCACAAGTAACGGGCTTTAATCGTCACTTGTAGTGATAAAGAATTTCTCACTGCTGAAATAAAGGGGGAAGTAAATTAGGGATCAGTAACCTCAGTAACAGTCAAGGTAACGTTGACACATATATTGAATTTTAACTATTTACAATAAAAAAAATAAATAAAATATTTCAACGCCCACCCCCGCTCGTAATTTTAAAACCCTGAACAAAATAAAAACAAACAGATCGGCCAGTAATGATTAGTCTCAATCAGACGGTAGAATTAAAATTAGAAGAAAGATGCTCGGTGGCAATAGTATCTAATTAATAAATTTGTCGGATCGGTGGTTGAGCCAAAACGAAATCAAAAACAAATAATGGCGGTCGTAGCAAAAGTTAATTAGTTAACTCTTAAAGCGGCATAAAGATTAAAGTTAAATATTTTGTTTCGTAAAAAAAAAATTAAAATCACGGTCGTAGAAAAAGTTATCTGGTTAACTCTCTAGTCGGTATTGAAACTGAAACAAACCTCCTTGTTTTAGTGAATGGGGAATAGATAAATGATAAGAAAACGGGATAGTATCAATCCTATGAGGAGTGCACTCGCCACAACCAGCACGCTCAACATAAAAATGATACTATCATTTTAATCACGGCGCGGAAGTAACTAAAAGAAAATAATCAAAATCCGGGTTAGTATTCAATCCTATGATGAGTGTACTCGCCACAACCAGCCCACTCAAACACAAAACAAAATATCAAACCGGGTCAGTATTTATCCTATGATGAGTGTACTCGCCACAACCAGCACTCTCAAACATAAGAAAAACACTAATATGTTAATCACGGATAGGGGTTAATCTAAATAAAATCTAAAACCGGGATAGTATCTAATCCCATGTGAGCTTTCTCGCCACAACCAGTCCACTCGACATGAAAAATGATACTATTTCAACTTTCCAACTTTCGAACTAATTCTATTCCCAAGTAAAGAAACATAAAATAAAAAAAGTTAAACCAGATTGTGAAAAAATTAGGAACAAAATCCACGGTCGCAATGAAAATTAACTAATCAACTGTATACGGAATTTAATTTGAAATTAGGTTTACTATTACTGTAAAATAGAAACACAATTCACGGTCGTAATAAAATTAATTAATTATTAAAATAGAAACAAAGTTTCTATTTCCTAATAACCAAAAACTATTTTTCAATGTTTCTAAATAAAATCAAAACTAAATAATTTATCTGTAAATCAAAATATTTTTAACGAAAATCTGAAATCAATTATTTCTCTTAAATAAAATCGAAAACGGAATAATTATTTCAAATGAAACCGGTATTCGAACGTTTTAACTCAAGAACCGTCGACAAAAAAAAAATATGTAAACAAATTCGATGTACCTAACTACGGTATCGGCGATAATTTTCAGCGGTGTATATCGGAGCAAAAGCAGCAGATGTTAGTCGAATCAGTAAAGTCAATTGAATGAATTTTTATATCGAATTCTGAATTCCAGTCTCTATGCCCAAGCAGGCTAGCTCCCCACTCGATGTGCGCGAAGCGCGCGCGCTTTCGTTACTCAGGTAAAATACGCGAATTTAAATGAAACAAAATTTTATATACAGGGTCTACCCATGAAGTTAAAATAAAAATAAAAAATAAAAATTGAAATTTATATCCGGAATAGGCCGAAATATAGTAATGAAAATTGACTTCATTACAAGGTGCATCTGGGAGATTCAGTGACAGTGGTGTTTTAGGCAAAGTGCAATCGGTCGAGGTTTCCAGCAAAATTTTTTTAATCTTCCACCACCTGAAGAGAACTTGCCTTATGTACTTGTAGGTGATGAGGCATTTCCCCTCACATATTACCTAATGCGGCCATACTCTCGTAGAGGCAATCTTGACTTGACTCAAAAAGTATTTAATTATAGACTTAGCAGAGCTCGAAGGGTTGTAGAGAATGCTTTTGGAATTTTAGTGGCTAAATGGCGGATTTTTCGGAAACCAATTCAGGCAAGTGAAGCCACAATAAAAAAAATTATGTAGACTTGTATTAGCTTGCATTATTTTTGTTATCTCAAAAAACTGAGAGAGACATTATCAATCCTGATGAAGATTTAGTTTTAACAACTGAAGGTTTACTTGACATTGGAAGTGCTGGATCAAACACTTTTTCACAAGAAGTTGGAAATCTTAGAAATAAATTTAAAGATTATTTTTGCGGCCCTGGTGCTACTGACTGGTAATGGGAGAAAGCATTAAATAATGATTATTAATTTTTCAAGTTTAATAACTTTTTAAATTAAGTTAATAATATTAACTAAATTGTAAGTTAAATATATGTGTCCTAAAGTTTTATAAGTTCTTTGTAAAAAGAAACAATAAATTATTTATCACTTTATTTTATTTATTTATATATCGTCGTTGAAGAAGTTAACCCTCGTATCTACACTTTTTACCAAAATTGACTTATTACACGAAAATTTACAGAAAAATTCGCTTTATTTTTCAGGTGAGATCTCGTAAGTAAAAAATAATTCTGTTATCTTGAATAACAAAAAACGTGATTACTTGTATCTTACTAAACGTGAAATTTCTGGTGATTTCCTGTAAATACTTAGTAGTGAAAAATCGTATCTGATTCTATTCTTTATTCAGCAGTAAGTCACTTGTGTTTACTTGTATCTGCGTATGAATCACATCCTATGCCAAATAATTCTTCTAGGTGGGGTTTGTTGTTGTTAGTATTAGTTTATGTTGGCAAACCTGTTCATGTTGGTATCAACATATGTCAATTGTCTCTTACATGTCAAGATGTTTCTTCCTGTCAATGGTCGATGGTGTCAACCATGCTTTGCGCTCTTAATTTTAAAATAAAGAAACGTGTGTTCTCATGGAGTTCAAAGAAACAAAGTATTGTTGCATTGTCCAGTACCGAATCTGAGTTTATTTCAGTTTGCATGGCAAGTTGTGAAATTTTACACATCAAAAAATTGCTGAATGATTTAAAAATTAAATTAAATATGCCTTTTTTATTCCATGAAGATAATCAAAGCACTATTAAATTACAGAATAATTTTGAAAACAATAGGAGATGTAAACATGTTGATGTAAAATTTCATTTCGTTGTCGATTTAATAACTGCAGGAATAATAAAAATTGTATATGTTAGTACTGACTGTCAGTTGGCAGATGTTTTTACAAAATCTCTAGGTGTAGAAAAATTTACAAAATTTGTTAAAATGTTAAATTTAAAATAAATACTTTAGTGTCTAAAATATAACAGGTTTGAGGGAGGGTGTTAGTATTAGTTTATGTTGGCAAACCTGTTCATGTTGGTATCAACATATGTCAATTGTCTCTTACATGTAAAGATGTCTCTTCCTGTCAATGGTCGATGGTGTCAACCATGCTTTGCGCTCTTGATTTTAAAATAAAGAAAAGTGTGTTCCACAGTGTCTTTTAATTAAAATAATAATCAACACAATCCCAATAATCAATTTTCTAATATCACATAACAGTTGTTAACGCGTATCTATTCTGTTTTAGTTTAACGTTGAATTTGATAGCAGACGGTTATACAATTTGTTACCACGTGTTCATTAAATAAGTTAAACCTAATAATTGTTCTTTAGTATAATGTAAGTTTCTAATTATTTATTTTTAATTCAGTATCCTATTTTATTCTAATACATTATTTTTATATTTATATATTAATTAATATGAGAACTTAAACTTTTGTTTTGTGAAAATGAGATACGTAAAATTTCCAAAACAATTTGGTGTTATAAAAAATCATAGCTATCTATTACGTTAGTTACGTTGTTTGATATTAAAAATCATGTTAGTCGTTTGTAGTTCGGAAATCCTAAATTAAATTTACCAGTTTGATATAAAGGAATTAAGTATTTATTTTATGCAAAGGGTGCTTTTGAAATAGCTGGCAAAATATTGACATCTCAGAAACCATAATAAATACGGTTTTGTTGAAATGAGAAAAAGCTAATGAGTTCCAATTAATAAAACGGTTTGGAATTTTAACATTTTCAGCAATACTTTTTCTTTTATACAGGTCACAAAAATGCACTATGTCTCGTTCTGGAAGGATAATGGCAATGGTAAAGGAAGTAACTATGGATGAAAACTTTTAGAAAAATGCCAGTGGGATATTATATCAAATAATAAAGCAGAAAACTTCACAATGTTAGACGATCATGAGGTTGAAAGTTTTCTAGCCTGTAGTTCCAGTCAGATGGACGTCGAATCTCATGTACAGCTATTCCCACTACACAATTCAAGACAGACGGAGATCATACATACTGAACAAGAATGCCAAGAGTATTCAACAAGTTGATTACGAACTTAGATAAAGGCAAATAGTTACTTCTAGGGACATGGACGAAAAACGTAAAATTTTAGGAACTGCCCTTAGGAAAGAAAAAAGGAGTCCTGTTTAATTAAAGGATCCCATTTATAACTTTGATTCAGAAAAAGTGCAGGTTAATGCTACTTTAGATAGTATACGAGCTTTAATTGAAGTATTCGAAGGCAGTGCTTTAGACCCTTTGTATAAACGTTTAAAATCTAGATTAAACCATATTTCAGCTAGAATAAGAAGAATGCCAATAGATATAGATGATTTTGATGAGGTTACTTTTAAAAATGAATCTTACGCAACTTATTCAATTTTAGATTCCGATTTAGAGGAAAAAGTAGAGAATCAAGACAGTACTTCGAATACTTTATCTACCATTTTCAGGTCGAGTAGTCCTCAAAGACCTTCAGTCACGGTTTCACCAGTCAAAACCAGTTGCTATTTATAAGTGGGATGTCAAATTTGACGGAACTAAAAAGGCTTTAGATGTAAGATCTTTCTTGGAAAGGGTTAATGAATTAGCAGTAGCTCGAAAAGTAAATAAAGTTTAACTTTTTGAGGCCGCGTTAGATTTATTTTCAGGCAAGGCATTATTATGGTTTAGGCATGTTAGAAATTTACCTGAAATTAAGGATTGGGATTCCTTAACTATTAAACTTGAACAAGATTTCTTGGGTAGTGATTATGACGAAGTTGTCTGGGAGACGATTAAAAATAGAAAACAATATTCAGATGAGCCAGTTGTTATTTTTGTATCTGTATTAGAACAATTATTCAGTAGATTAAGTTCAACTCCAGCTGTAGTAACTAAAATTAAATGGATTCAAAAGAATTTGAGACCAGAGTTTGTAGAGAGGTTGGCTTTAAACAAGTTTAACTCTGTTGAAGAATTAGTAAGGGATGTTAAATCGTTAGAAAAAGTTTTTTGTGACCTTCAGTCAAGAGGAAATAGGAGTAAAGTAAATGTACTGGAGTCCAATGTAGACCTAGGATTTAATTATTGTAGTTCAGTAGAGGGACACAGTCAAAATAAGTTTAGTAAAAATAGTTTCAAATCAACCAATTTTAATAGATATAATCATAATAATAATAATAATAATAATAATAATAATAATAATAATAATAATAATAATTTTAAACTTAAAAGTCCAAATTTTTCAAAAGTAGGTTCGAGTGCAGGAAATGGGAGTGAACAAACTCCCGAAGTAACAAAAACGTAGTTTGCTTTAATTGTAATCTGGCAAATCATCATTGGAAACATTGTGTGAAAAAGAGGGGTAAATTTTGTTTTTCTTGTGGAAAGCCAAATGTTATAAAAAAGGATTGTGACAACTGTCAGGGAAATGGGAACCGGAGATAAGGATTTTTTCCAGAGACCTACCCATATCTCCAAAAGCTGAGGTCTCTCATTCGAGGATTTTTTTAAATAAAAATATTAGAAAAAATGTAAATAATTTAAGAAAAACTTTTGAAGGGTCACAATTTTCTAAACTTAAATTTAAGCCTAGCCTGGAGCAACAGCGTTGTTTGGAATTTACAAAAAGGTTTTTAAATAATTTATATTTATCAAGAAGTAGTCCATGTTCTGACTTAAATACAATCATGGTAAATAAGAATGTTCCAGAAATGGGAAAGTCATTTTCAAATCCAGTAATTGTCCATAAAGAGAATGACAACAGGCCTCATAATAAAATAAATATTTTAGGAGTAGAGGTGGTGTCTCTGTTAGATTCAGGGGCAAATTCTAGTATAATATGTAAGGATGGTTTGGATTTAATTAAATCTTTAGGAATAACTATCAGGACTTCAAAACTCAAAAATGTGCTAACTGCAGATGGAGTTAAACAACCCATTACAGGTTGTGTAGATATACCAATAGTAATAAATGAAAATTGTAGAGTAATCTCGTTTTTAATAGTTCCCTCACTGAACTATTCATTTATTTTGGGTACAGATTTTTGTCAAACATTTCAATTAAAATTAGACTTTAAAGAAAATACTTGGGAGGTCTTATGTGACAATAAAACTAATATCGCCTTGGGTGGATTAAATTTAATTAGTACAGTCACATTTGATAATGTATCTTCTTTAGAAAATTTAAATAGAAGTCAAGTCGTTATGGTAGATAAAGCCATAGATACATTTAAGAATTTAAGTCCGGTTGGTAAGATAGGGAAAACTAATAAAATAATATATCATATAGATACTGGGGAAGCTCAACCATTTAAACAAAGGCAATATCTAATGTCTCCGTACATGTTGGAACATTTAAATAAGGAGCTTGATAAAATGTTAGATTTAGGTGTAGTAGAGAACTCACAAAGTAATTTTAGTTCACCAGTTTTATTAGTAAAGAAGGCGAACGGGGACTTTAGGTTTTGTTTTGATGGAAGAAAGCTGAACTCAGTCACCAAAAAAGATAATTACCCTCTCCCTATGGTGGATAGGATACTGTCATTGCTAGGTTCTGCAAATTATATCTCGTCAGTGGATTTGGTCTTAAAACTGATCCAGTGAAAGTATCAGCCATGGTTAATTTCCCGCAACCTAAAAATACTACAGAAGTCAAACGTTTTACTGGAATATGCAGTTGGTATCGTAGATTTATTCCACAGTTTTCTACTTTAATGGCTCCCATTAATGAGTTAATAAAAAATAGGAAAAAAGGGCAAAAAATATTTTGGAACCCAAAGGCACAGAAAGCTTTTGAAGACATTAAGCAAGCGCTTGTCTCAGCTCCTTTGTTGGTTAGTCCCGACTTTTCAATACCTTTTACAGTACAGTGTGATGCTTCTGATGTTGGATTAGGATGTGTATTATTACAAATTCAGGATGGTGAGGAGAAAGTGATTGCCTACGCCTCCAGAAGTCTTAATAAGAGTGAGAGGAATTATAGTGTAACAGAAAAGGAATGTTTAGCCTGTATCTTTGCATGTGAAAAATTTCGTCCGTTCATAGAAGGGGTTAGTTTCACTTTAATAAGCGATCATGCATCCTTACTATGGTTTTTAAAGTTAAAAAACCCAACGGGTAGATTAGCTAGATGGAGCGTTAGGCTCAGTCAATTTGATTTTGTTTTAGAACACAGAAAAGGGAAGTTCAATGTAGTACCTGATGCTTTATCTCGAGCACCAGCAATTGTTTCTGATGGAGAGGAATGTCAGTTTTTTGATAAACCTAGTGATGACATTTTTGCCTTAAATAATACAAATACTTGTATTTCACTCGATATAAAATTAGACAATGTAGATTCTTTTTACAATAAGATACGTTCACAGATCCTTCATGATCCTAAAAGTTTTCCCCAGTGGAATGTTATAGATGGATACGTTTATAAGCTTTTACCATCAAAGATTCAAATTGATAGTAACGTTTCAGATTGGAAATTGTTAGTTCCAAAACCTCAACGTAGGCATATTATTTCAAGTTGTCACGATGATGCTAAAGCAGCACATCTAGGGTATTTTAAAACATATAGTCGAGTAAGTTTAACCTATTATTGGCCTAAAATGCGGAGAGATATAAATAAATGCATTAAAACTTGCAAGGTGTGTTCTGCACAGAAAGCCCCGAACTATAAGAAATTTGGTTTGATGGGGGTAAAACGTAAAGTAAGATTTCCATTTTAAGTAATAGCTTTAGATTGTATGGGACCATTTCCAAGAAGTTCGAGTGGGTATACTCAGATTTTAGTGGTGAGCGATTGGTTTACCAAATATACACTAATTTTTCCTTTAAGAGCTGCTACAGCAAAAGCTATTTGTAGGATTATAGAAAATGAAGTATTTTTAATATACGGGGTACCACAGAGTATTGTGTGCGATAACGCAAAGAATTTTGCAGGTAACGAACTAAGGAAATTGGTAGAAAAATATAAGTCGCGTTTGATATTTACTCCGTATTATCACCCTCAGACTAATTATGTGGAACGCCAGAATCGGACTATAGGAACAGCAATTAGAAGTTACATTAAAGAAAACCATAAACATTGGGATCAGGAACTATCAAAAATTGGTTTTGCATTGCGAACTTCGGTTCATAAGGTTACGGGTTATAGCCCCGCTCTTTTGACTTTTGGAAGAGAATTGCCGGGTACTGGAACGTATTATGGTAAATCCAACGATCAGTTAGATTTAGGTAGTAGAGAATACTGGGGTAATAATTTGGGAAATTTGAAAAATATTTATGTTGAAGTTCAACAAAAAATTAGTTCGGCTTATAAGGCATCAGATAATTTTGCGAGAAAACTTGCACCAAAGTACAAGTTATGTACGGTGATAAGAAAAAAGTCCAAACTTGTCTATGAACTAGTAGATGAGGATGGTTCTAATGCTGGAACATATCACATTCAGGATTTGAAATCACATGGCGGTTCTCTTACTGATCTCGCAATGGAGGAGTCCGATTCTGGGGGAGAGACAGAAGAATGAATCCGTGATAACTGTTGTGACAATTTGTAAATAATTGAAAGTAGTTAATTTATAAACACAATTGTTTTAATGTTTTAAATAGCCCTTATTAACCCAAGGACAAATCATTCTAATTCTAATATTCTTATACTTATTGCCCCTTTATGGCCTTTTTCCATCTATTTCAATCTAGACTAGTTGTAATGCCTATTTCAGATACAATAAGCCATCAGCTTCGATACAGGTGGGCTTTGAAACTCATCCTAATTAAGAAAGACATGCACATTCCAAAAATCTCCATATTCAGGAATATCTAAAACAAAACAAAAATAAAGGTAGTGTGTGTATCTTAAAATTAAAAATTAACAGGAGTCATAACTTTTTTAAATTATTACATTTTTCTTGCAATAAAAGGTATAAAAATTTCAATAAAAAAAGAAAATATCTGATTTATGATTTTAATAGGTGAACTATGTAAAAATTAGT